CATCTTATTACCCAGTGCATATCGAGTCATGTCTGTCTTGTAAGAGTTATAACAAAAATGAGTTTAAGAATTTTGTTAAACTGTTCATATTTCATATTTTTACAGGGTGATATCTACATAAATGATGGGAATAGTAAAATTATTGAAAGAAATATATTTTATAATAGTGGTATCGTATATGGTATTGACAGAGTGTTGGAACTACCAAGCATTGGTGGAAGATGTGATGTTATAACTAATACAACAGAAATGGTAGGTTGCCATTTTTTTTTTTTTTTTGAGGGGACACACGTAAAAACGAGAGCATTTATCTAGACTAGTTAATAAATGCCACGGTAACTTAACACTGATACCTTATTACAGTTGTACAAATTTGTGTTTTTTTTTTTACAACTGCCTAGCTTTAAAACAAATTTACCATACAAATCTGCAAATAAAATTTATTTAAATTGAGTAATTAATATGCAGATTGTTGAATACCTGTAATTAGCTTTGTATCCCACTTCAATTTACTGATCTAATTTTTATTGAAATTCTATCATTAGTTCTCAATAAAACAACATGTTTTCATAATCTTCTAGTAAAAGTCATAATATTGATATTAATTTAAATGATAAAGGCAATTATATTATACCAGTGTGTCACTGCCATCAATGCATCATTGTGATTGGTTGGGAGACTGTTTTAATTTATGCAAGCCATGGTTAAATAGAGCATAATCCACAGTGGAAGGGCATTTATATTTTAGGGAAATTTTGGGGTAATATTGATAGCATGATTTGAAGATATTATATACATATTTTATTTTTGCAGTGGTTAAATAAAAAAAATTGTACAACCTACAAGTTTTGCAGGCTATTCTTTGCGACAGGTTTTCGTTGTCTGCAACATAGACATGGCCGAGTATCATGTTCGGGAGCTGGAAACACAGGCTAAAATATATGCTACCGGCAGCGAAAATTGTCCCATTGAAGCATTTCAAAATGTATTGTCCAAATTGCAAAATGCGTTGTTTCAGTGGCCCTGTGTAAATGTAACACACACTGACAGTCTGGTATTCGTGAAAATAAATTGGGATCTATGATGGAAAGAGATTTCGACAGCAGCAAATTTGTTGACAATTCATACACATCAACTGCGTGCACTGCGTTCGGCAGAGTTAGAAACCAGACACATTTATGTATTTCACGGCACTTAAAAACAAGCTAGTGTTCGGTCCTACACTAACAAAATAACCAATAATCAGAGTCACTGAATATCCAGTAT